AGTGGGGATGAGAGAGAGTCTTTTTGGTGCACTTTTATAGGAATCAGTGACCAAATATTTTTCTTTCTTTATAGCATTTCACTCAGGATGCGGAGTCCTGGGAGAGTGGGCCTACTGGCCTCTCTTGGGTTATGCACCAAGCTATTGCTCAAGGTCAAGGAATCTTGATTAATGGTCCCTCTAAACCTCTACCCAGAGTGCCAACTTAAGTCCTCCAAAAGGAAATTGGGTACCACTACAAAAAGGCAGAAATAAACATTAGCCTATTTATGAAATTGCATTCTAGAATACGGAATATCAGACAAATAGCAGGTGAGTGGTACTTAAGGAATAGAGAAAAGTACAGGAAAGAGGTGTCACCCTGTCAGAAAACAAGATATCACTAAATGGTATTTTTTGGTCTGTTCTACTGAGACACATGTGTCTTAAACTATGGGCTGGTAACAGATCAGAAGCTGTTTAAGTCAGCCCTATAAAAACTTGTCTTTCTAGGCAGGGTCGATTTCCATGGAAACTTTTCATTTCTAAGGTTTGCTTTCCTAAATATTTACTGTAAGAGAAATTTCTCTGGCTCCTGTCCTATGTGTTGAAATATCACCCAAGGCAAGGCAAAGCAAGGCAGGGCAAAAGTATTTGGAGTAGAAAGGCATTTCTGTCCACTTTGGTTTGGATTGGAAACCAGCAGCAGGGAGCTAATCTCCTCCCCCCATCACCACCCACTTCCCAGGAATACTGGCTTTATTCATGATTCTGCTGCTCTGACTACATAAATGTGTACTTTTCCTGAAATGCTATGATTTGAAGATTTAAATGAAGGACAATCTTGTAGGCTTTTGTCTTCATGCAACCTCTTAATCTCTTTAGATGTTTGGCTATTTTTATCATATATTATCTAGTTTGGGGAATTAAGACTATATATTTTTTTTAAAGAGGATTTGGAAAAGGAATTGTAAAATAGTAAATTGTCATTAGAAAGAACAGAATTGAATCGTTCACTGTTACAATAGAGTCTGTACTGGAGCGAGTGTACTTCTGATGGAGGGATGTATCTGATTACCACAACGTATTTTGATATTTGGAAGTTTGGATTATTCTGTTTATATAAGCACGTGGTTTGAGTTCTCAGAGCTTAGAATCTATAGTTTTGTGCGCAAATTGTAACATCTTGAAAGTTGGCATGTACAAAGGCCTCTGGCAGGGGTGAGTTTTGCCCAGTGCTCTGAATTTGAAGTGAAGAAATCCATGGAAGCCCAGGCAAACAAATGATGGGTGAAGCCACAAGTCCCTTAGGGTAGCCAAATGCCTTGTCATCTCATCAGAGATGTATGAATGGTTGTGTGATATTCCTTTTGTCTTTACCTGTTATCTGATGAAACCACAGCCAAGTGAATGGGTTGGCAAAACCTGTGGGCAAAGAAGACTGTTGGACCTGACTGTAAACCTGGCAGGAAGGGACACTGAAGGTATAGGTTACATGGGAGGCCCTGTTGGGGACCTGGAAGCCAGGCCTTGGGTCTCCAAATCCATTGTTTTGTAAGCTGTTTCCGAAGGAAATTTTTCACATTTATTTTAATTAAGTAAATATTTTTATACCAAAACTTAGTAAAAATAGACAAATGTCACCTATGAATTAAAAAATCTCCCACCCCATAGACTAACATAGTCAAAATAGTGCACTGACCAAGGACAATTTAATCCAATAATTCAAGGATGTTTCAGCAGAACACTAAAAACACAAAAATATGAATGTTTTCTTAACTTGGTAAAATACATCTAACTAAGCCTCAGAGGCAGCATCATGGCATTTGAAGTCATTCCTACCAAAGTTGGGAAGTAGACAAAAGTGTTCACTGCTTGCTGCCCCAGAGGAAGCTGGTGCACTGAGATAGATAGCAGGTGTTACAGCACAGAAAGGGGTTCATTCTGCAGAGCACTGAATGAGGAGATGGGAAGAATTCTCAAAACCACCTCTCTGAAAATTTGGGAGAAAGGATTTTTTAAAGGTAGTTTGGCAGGCAAAAGGCTAGGCAATTTGGACCGCTAATTGGCCGGGTCTGGGGCAGAACCATATGGGTGTATAGACTGTCTTCTTTGCTGACCAGGTTTTTGGGTATGGGTCACAAGAGCAGTTGAGTCAGTTCCTTTGCATGGGCCAATGGTCTGTGTGGGTCAGCTGTTCTGCCAGAATGCAGGACCTGGAAGATGTCTCAAAAAACAGCCTCAGGTTTCATACGGGTGATGTTATCTACAGTGGAAAGTTAGAAGGGAACAGTGACTAATTATTATCAAGCAAATGAGGGGACCCCGGGTGGTTATTATTATCATTTTTAGCTACGCCTGTGCCTTTGCAGAGTTTTGGGCCCTTACCCCAGTTCTCACCTTGCACCCCTTTATTGATCTGTAAAGGGCGATTTCAAATATATGCTCTTGACATTATTCTGAATGTATTGTTCGATGCAAGGACAAAAGAAATTAGAAGCATAAAACTTCAAAATATTTAATGAGGTAAAACTATCATTGTAGATGAGTGTATAATTGTATTGCACTGTGTATTGCATGTGCTCAAGAAAATTATCGGAAAATCTACTGCAAATAGGAGAATTTAGTAAGGTAGTGGGATGCAAAATTAGCATATGGCGATCAATAGCTTTTAAACAGAAGACAAAGAAAATGACTTCAATTGTAACATTAGCATAAAGGGTAAAATACATAAAGATACAATGAAACAAATGGGGAGGAAAACTGTGAACACTGAAAACACAAAAGGAGTCTTAAAGCAATGCAAAACACACCGTGTTCTCAGAGTCAACATCGTAAAAGGGTCAGTTCTCTCTAAATCAGTTTTTAAATTTAACTCAGTCCTAATGAAAGCATCATCAGATTTCTTCGTGAACCAAACAGGCTGTTTCTGGAATTCATCATAAACAAACAAACAAACAAACAAACGCAAATAGCTGAGAAAATACTGAAAAAAGTGTGCAATGATGGAGAAAGCGGGAAGGAACTCAGCCCTACTAAAGATTGAAATATATATATATTTTTAAAGAAATATATATATACATTTAAAAATATATATATTTTAAAAGACTTTTATAAGAAGATTCTATAATTAAACTAATGTGGTAATGGTGTGTGAATAGACAGACCAATGGAACAGAGTTAAAACAAATCCAGAAATACATCAAGATTCACCAAAATTTAGACAAGAATTTCAAATGGCTTTTTACCTCTGAAATGATGCACATTTATAAGTGAGAAACACAAGTTAAAACTACAATGAAATACTATTTTAATACCAACAAATTGGTAAAAGGCCAAACATTTCACAACATACTCAAAATCCTAGAGATAAATTAAGTTAGTTCAATCTCCTTGAAGCCAATTTGATAGTAGAAATTGCAATTATAACTGTACCTCCCTTTGACTCAGCAATTCTGCTTTTGGATTTTGCCTAACAGATAAGCAGCAAAAAGATATATACATATGTAACGTGGCATTGTTTTTTCCTTGTAAACCATAGGGGACAAGTTAAACAAATTCCTATACTGGAATATAGTGCAACAGTAAGAAAAAAATAAGGACGGTTAGGATGCATTGATGTGAAAGATCTTCGAGATGTTTGTCAAGTGAAAAAAAGAAAGAATACATACTAGTGTGTATATTTTTGCGTAAAAAATAGCGGACATCTATATTAGAGTCTATTTGTGTATGCATAAAGAAACTCTAAAGGGGTGTCTAACCTGTGGCCCGTGGGCTGCAGCAGATTATTTGAAGACTGTTTTGCTTATCATGAAAATTACACACGGACTTTTTTTTTTTTTTGCTCATCAGCTTTCATGAGTGTTTTTGCATTGAAGTGTGTCCCAAGACAACTCTTGTTCTTCCAATGCGTGGCAGAAAAAAGAAAAAGGTTGGACACCCCTGCTTCTAGACAGATATAAAAGCAGCAAGAGGCATTGGTTATCTGTAGAGATGAAGACTCCATGAGAAATAGGCAGATGGGGGACTGTGTATCTTTTGTCCTTTTAAAATTTTTGAAGCATGTGAATGATTTGCCTACTCAATAAGTAAATAATAAACAAATATGCAGATAGCCATACAGTGAGAATCAGTGTACTTACAAAAACCCCACTAGGGATGTTTTCTATTTAACGATAGGGAAAAATCTCCAAAGATGTGAAGTGAATGAAGTGAGGTGCAGACTATAAGGTATAGGATGTTACTTTTTGTCAAAATAAAGGGAAATCAGAGAATATTTGCTTGGTTTTTCTTAAAGGAACTCTGCAGGGATGCTTGTGTTGAGGAAAGTCGTGCTGTGCTACCCGTTCCTCCTGGGGGCTCCCTTCAGGAATGCAACTCCTTTCCCCAGCTGCAGGGACCTCCGCTGGCCGCAATGGCCTTCAGCTGACAGCAGTAGTGGAGACACCTGAGGTCAGGTCACCACCCCCTTCCTGGGTGGTTGCATCCAGTGAATGGTGGACACGGGGGTGTGAAGGGGCAGCTCCCCGCACCTACTCAGGGCGGCTCCGTGCCCGGCAGCCTAACTTGAGAGATCCCCTACTTTATACTTTTCAGGGCGCCTACTTCTCCCGCCCTCTGTGCCCTCCCACAGGTGTTGGCTGGAGAGCACCCCTCGGAATTCTTCTTCTTGTTAATAGTCTGCTTCCTAGAGAACCCAGGAAGCTAAAAACCAAGAAACTAAAATCAGTAGTTCCCTGTGGTTGGGCAAGGGTGAGAACCCAGTGAAGGAGTATGAGGTTGAAAAGGAGACATTTCACTCTACACCTTTTTATACTTAAAAAAATTTTTTTACCAGGTGGATGAATGCTTTATTCAAATCATAAATGAAAACTTAAAAGTTATTTTGACATGTCTGCAATATTTTATGCTTTCCCACATACATCTTTCTATTTTTTAATTTAGAAGGAGATATTCTCAAGCAAAATACTGTCTCCTTCTACACTTTAAATACACTTTTCTTTTCTGTTCGGTTTTTGTTTAGGACCTACGGAGAAACACCTTGATTTCGTCTTACAATGGAACTTAAAAAGTCCCCTGATGGTGGATGGGGCTGGGTGATCGTGTTGGTCTCCTTCCTCACTCAGTTTTTGTGTTACGGATCGCCGTTGGCTGTCGGAGTCCTGTACATAGAATGGCTGGACGCCTTCGGTGAAGGAAAAGGGAAAACCGCCTGGGTCGGGTCCCTGGCAAGTGGAGTTGGCTTGCTTGCAAGTAAGTGGGCACATTCATGCTGCTTCTTATTCTTTAACCAGGTGATTACATTTGCTGCATCCCTAACACTGTGCAAGGCATCTGAGGCTTCTTTTTGGTTTTATTTTATTTACTTTTTTTAAAACCGAGTCTCAGGCTGTGGCCCTGGGGAGAGTGCCGTGGTGTCACAGCTCACAGCAACCTCGAACTCTTAAGCTTAAGTGACTTGCCTCAGCCTCCCAAGTAGCTGGGACTACAGGCACCTGCCACAACACCTGGCTATGTTTGTTGTTGTTGTTGCAATTGTCACTGTTGTTTTAGCTGGCCCAGGCCGGGTTCGAACCTGCCAGTCTCAGTGTATGTGGCCGGTGCCCTACCCACTGAGCTATGGGTGCCACCTGAGGCTTCTTTTTTGAAAAAGCATATATTACAACACTCTTTCACTGTAACAATGCTGTGTGAAAATATAGGCATGCCGTAAGATAATTCAATCATCCATTTGTTCATTTCTTTATTCGTTTATTGTCTACTATGGGCCATGCAGTGAGACATTGAATGTGGCAATTTGTAAGGCATTTTCCAGCTCTAAAATGATTTGATGAAGATATGTTTAAAACAGAATGTATTGACCAGTTTTCTTTTAAATATGCATCTCTCCTGGATATTAAAGAGGGCTGCTATAAAAAAAAGCAAATACTTCCAAGTGATAAATTACAAACAAGGCTAAAAGACTAGAAAAACAATGCTGAATCATGTGTCTATGTCAGATAAGATAACTAAACATACCTAAACACCTAAAAAGATAATACTTTAAGAGCTCAAGAGAAAAGGAAAAGGTTGCCCAAGATTTGTTTGAGAGAGTTTTTCATAATAGGGTTTATTTGTAAAGCCATCAAAGTATAAGTGGATAATAATTGATACATAAATATAGGGATTTAAAAGTATTGATTTCTAGAAAACCACCTATATTGGAGAGGAAAGAATTTTTTTTTTATGTTCTTTAGTTAGTCACCTTTTCTATTAGGAAATTCTACGTTATACAGAAATAACCTTGGCAAGGGTCAAAAAGATAATTGAAATATTTCAGTTAGCACGTACTTGGAGAACAAAGTTTCTTTTCACAATTCTGTCCAGGTAGGAGCTGAGGATTGAGGGAAGCTGAGATCTCCTTAAGGGTGTGGCATTGGTGATCAGAGCTGAAGCTGATTCTCTGAAAATTAACTGCAGCTGTACACTGTGTTCAAGTTCCCAGGCAGATGACCACTTATCTCAAGGGCCAGGAATAGCCCTCTTCACCGTTTTTTTTTTTTTTTTTTTTGAGGTTTTTGGCCGGGGCTGGGTTTGAATCTGCCACCTCTGGGATATGGGGCCAGTGCCCCACTCTTTTGAGCCTCAGGCACTGCCCCCTCTTCACTTTTAGGCAGGACTAGCTACATAATTTTTGGGTCCCAGTGCAAAATGAAAATACAGGATTCTTGTTAAAAAATCAATAAATCTGTTTCTTCATCTTTACATTTGAGATAATAAAAGTATCTACCCTATATGATTGTTATGTGGAATAATTGAGATTAGCATATGGTAAGTACTCAGTAAATTTTAGTTAGTAGAGAACAAATCACTTACAAATAAAATGACTGTCCCAGGCAGTTCCAACCAAACTCTAGAACCTGTGAAAGAAATACAAAGGATGAAATACAAAGACATTTCTTAGAAGGACGGGCAGGAAGGAGAGCTGGGAAGTTGCTGAGATTGTGCCTAAGCATCTAAAAGTTAAAGGCCTACCCCTGTCTTTTACAAACTTAGATTTGCACAGAGCTCATAATAGCATATTAGAAGTGTGAAAAGATATGCACTCTTCATAACTTTAATTCTTAATTCCTTTTCCCTGAAACCTGAGTGATTGAGGAGAAAATACTCCTTCCTTTTGCCTGAATTATTATTTTGTCCAGATAATCCCTGGGATGAATAAAGCTGGGTATAAGGATTCTGCTTTCTGGGTTGTACATTGTGAATGAACTCAGCCCTGGTACATGTGCTCATAGGGTCTCTCTGTGCTGTGGATGCCACGATAGACAATACTGTCCATGCTTCCAAGGGGTGTGTAGTCTGGGGAAGCGATAGGAAAAAGGTAACTACTAATTGGAGACTTTATGAATACCATAAAGAATAGAAGTTTTAACTTCTATTAAAACTTGGCAGAGGCTCGGCGCCTATAGCTCAACCGGCTAAGGCGCCAGCCACGTACACCTAAGGTGGCGGGTTCAAATCCCCAGCCCGGACCCGCCAAACAACAATGATGGCTGCAACCAAAAAAAAAAAAAAAAATAGCCGGGCGTTGTGGCGGGCGCCTGTGGTCCCAGCTACTTGGAAGGCAGAGGCAGGAGACTCGCTTGAGCCCAGGAATTAGAGGTTGCTGTGAGCTGTAATGCCACGGCACTCTGCCCAGGGGGACAGCTTGAGGCTCTGTCTCAAAAAAAAAAAAAAAAAAAAAAAAAAACTTGGCTAAGTTACAATCCCCAGTTATTCAAACACTAATCTAGGTGTTGCTGTGAAGGTACTTTGTAGATGCGCATAAAGTTCATCATCAGTGAACTTAATGTAAGGTAGATTAGCCTAGATAATCCAGATGGATTTGATTCCATTTGTTGAAAGGCTTTGAGAGCAAAAATGAGCTTTCCCAGAAGAAATTCTGCTGTGGTTGCAGCTTCAGACCAAGCCTGAGAGTTCTTACATACCCTTCCTGCTGACCTGCTCTCTCGATCTGGAACTTGCCCAGCTAGGCAAGTATTGTCTGGCTAATCTCCTAAGTCAGTTCCTTGCAATAAATCTGTTAATATATGTTTCATACTCTTTTTGTTTCTCTGGTTGAGACCTGTTGATAGAGCTGGGATGGAAGGTAACTGAATGGTCTTGCATTAAGATGAGCTAGAACACCTTTTGCCTGGATATTGTTCTTCAAATTTAAGGAACAGGGTGAGGCTGCTTCTCAGACAACCCGGTTGCTAAAACAGCAGGAAGATCTTTCTTCAGTAGTTTTGTACTTGGAGAAGAGTTAATAGTCCCCACACCCGCTTTTGTCCTCCGTTGCTCCAAAGGCCTTCAGACTATGAGTCAGTAAACATATCCCAGGTTAATGGAGTGAGTCAATATTGCCAACCCCACTTGCTGAGTGAGTGGTGAGTGCTGGGCAGAGCTGGGTTTGGGCATCACCCCCAGGCACTGTTAACTCCTTCAGCACTAAATTCCTACCTGCCATGAGGATTCTGTGCTTGGGTCAATTCCCAGTGTGCTAAGTATTTCCAGGATCCATGACAGTGTGACCGGGTTTTGGCTAAACTTTCTGCCATCTCTATAGACCACCAAACCAGCCAACCAGAATAGCGATCGGTATAAGTGTACCTGAGATTGAGGATTTGACTGGGTGTAGCTCCTGAGTGCCTTTCTCTTTCTCAAGGAGATGAATTTAAGATTGACAATCTTAGCCGGAGCAGGGAGTGAGGAATATTCCAATTTTAAGGCTCCCTGCATTTTAGTGGAAATGTAGGGCTTTTGTGAGCCCAGCTAATGGACTTTGTTGGGAAGTCCTTTCTGCATGGCACATCTACACCTGGCTACTGCTACATTTAATTTCTCACTGCATTGACCAACTTAAGGATTTCCTGCAGCAGGCCTGGCCATCCTTCCACTCCTGGGACTGTGAAACTTTTTAGGAGGAAAGAGGTACATGGAGATTGACATTATTTCCCAAAGGGAATGATTCCATTCTATCTTTCAATAATTTCAAAACTACAAAACCACACATGGTTTTCTCTGTGTCTTCTGATGAGCTATGAGCCTCCTACTCTGGGTTGTACAGTACAGTGGCCACTTGGCTGTTGAGCACTTGAATTGTGGCTCATTCAAAAATGGTGATGAGCTAGAGATGTAAAAGCTACACACTGGATTTCAAAGACTCAGTACGAAAAAGAATGAAAAATATCTCAGTGATGTCAAAATATTGAAATGATAATATTTTGGACAGCATTAGGTTAGACAGAATGCATTATTAAAATTAATTTCGTCTCTGTTTTATTTTCCTAATGTTGTCGTTAGAAAGTCTAAGATTCCGTCTGCAGCTCACGTGTGTGACTCCTTACGTTTGTATTGCACAGCACAGCATTAATGGAATCTCAGTAAATGGTTAGCTGTTCACTTTCGGTCTGATTAACACAGGGCTATATATAATGCTGCTAACATATTTAAAATTTGTAATGTATTCTTCCCCTGTGCTGCCTAACAGCCAGCAAAAATTGAACTCTGTTGTCTCTTCCCAAATTACCTGAAGGGCTGAAGGAAGCAATGTCATCGCTCTCTCTGACTTCCTTAGAGGCAATTCATTCTTCCCATTTTTCTAATTTGCGTGTGATGCATACCAAGACTCTTTGTTAGGTAGAGTTTTCTCGTCATTGGCTGAAAAGTGTATCAAATGGTCTGCCTTGGAGGTGGCTAAAAAGAAAGGGTTTTCTATAGTTTGTTTTGCGTTTAAGAGGTTGCAATGTGCAAAATCCCATCTTCAGCCTCTTTTCTTTCTTCACTCTTCACTTTGGTTTGTAGGGTGATTTGTCCTCCTTAACATGTGGGTTTTTACCTTTGGGGGGAGAATGTCAGCATTGAGCCAAAAATGTTGTCAGGCCTTTATGCAGGAGGGGAGAACATCTGTTAAGGCCCCTGCATACTACCTGGGAAGGACAGAACTGCTCACCACCCAGTGCCCCACACCGACTTCTGCCCTCCTTAGGCCATTCTTCTGTGCTGTCTGCCAGCTCTGCTACTGACCAGTCCAGCTCAGGATTTTCAGTTCCACTGACCAGTCCAGCTCAGGATTTTCAGTTCCACCAACCAGTCAAGATTAATCTCTCAAACCGAAAGTAGTAACAGCCACAGTGGCTCCCAATCACCAATACCAGCAATAGTAATAATAACTCTTGAGCACCAATACATGGTCAATTGTAAGTTCAAGAAAATTTTTTTAACTAAAGGTAAATGAATATAAAGGCAATGATGTGTAAGGTGAGCGTGCGCGCATGTGTGTGTGTGTGTGTGTGAGGTTTCTGCTGTCTTCCTACTATTTTGTATTGTAAAATTACAACCTTCTTGTCATTTCCTAATTAAAACTCTCCAAGGTAGTAATGGATAGTTATTACATTTTTTAAATGTCTTGTTAAATAAAAAATTAGCAATCCCACTTTTTCTTTCTAAATTTTTCAGATCCACAAGTGGAATCACTGATTCATGTTATAGGTTAACTAACTTTTGTTCCAGAGGTTCCTTCTGGAAAGTGAAAGACCTGAAACATAGTAAGACATCTCCCCTGAGAGTAATCCTTTGGTTCAATTTGTCTCTTGAAACTCATTCAGTGCTGAGGAATAATAATACGTGGTTTATCATCTTGGAGACTTGGCATTTTATTATGAAATACTCAACACATAAATATGTCATGTTTTGCAAATGTGACTTGATGATCACTTCATTTTATTTTGCCCTAATTATTATTGATGAAGTCTGAGGCTATTTTGGCTTAAATCTATGTAAATAGAATCTATAAATATACCCTGGCTCTAAAGATGAGGGTGAAATAATTTGCTCTAATTTTTTTTAAATAATAAATGATCACAAAGGTTATGTTTTCATGTGACATAAACTCATAAAATTACATAATCTGGAAGATATTAAATACGAAAGCACATTGATGTTCTTTACTAACATTTTGATTTCTAGAAATAACATTAAGAACTGATTAAACTGCTTCTCAATTGGTAAGAATGTTGGGCTGACTTTGGCCTTCACTTTGGAGTTGGTCGAGTCATGTGAACTTCCTGAGCTCCAGTTTCTTCATTTTAATGTTCAGATGTTTGGACCATTTCCAAGTTCCAAAATATCAGATGTAAAATCTTTTGTCTTGAATCTCCGACATCAAGATGTTTTTTTACAGACAGGGCACACTGGCTCATGTCTGTAATCCTATCACTCTGGGAAGCTGAGGTGAGTGGATTGCTTGAGTTCTGGAGTTCAAGACCAGCCTGAACAAGAGTGAGACCCCCAACTTTAAAAATAGCTGGGCATTGTGGAGGGCACCTGTAGTCCCAGCTACTTGGGAGGCTGAGGCAAGAGGATCACTTGAGCCCAAGAGTTTGAGGTTGCTGTGAGCTATGACGTGACAGTACTCTACTGAGGGAGACAAAGTAAGACTCTATCTCAAAAAAAAGATGTTTTCTCTAAGTAAGCAGTAGATGCCAATGTGAAAATTGAGTTTTTGTTTTCTTAAAAAACAACTTTCAGCTCGGCGCCTATAGCTCAACCAGCTAAGGCGCCAGCCACGTACACCTAAGGTGGCGGGTTCGAATCCCCAGCCCGGACCCGCCAAACAACAATGACGGCTGCAACCAAAAAATAGCCAGGCTTTGTGGCGGGCGCCTGTGGTCCCAGCTACTTGGGAGGCGGAGGCAAGAGACTCGCTTGAGCCCAGGAGTTGGAGGTTGCTGTGAGCTGTAATGCCACGGCACTCTACCCAGGGGGACAGCTTGAGGCTCTGTCTCAAAAAAAAAAAAAAACAACTTTCAATTTGCTGTTATCATCTGTGAAATAATTTTTACTCATCTCTTCCTGATGCTTAAATTTTTTTCAAAGAATCATGTATTAGACAAAACTTATCTAAGAATTTATCATGCAATTGATAACAATGCTATGCATTTTATAGAATAATGAGAATGCTATGAAATTAGCCCTCATTCCCACTCCCCAATTCCTGAGTTTCTTTGTGGAATTAACATGCATTAAAGTGTGTAGATTTAAAGTCCTATCTTGAGGATGCAACTTGAAACTTTTCAAGTATGCCAGTAATAATCTGTATTCCAATCCCTTTGTACTGGTAAACTTGTGATCGCTGACTCTCAGTGGCCACACAGTTTGGTAACAACAGGAAGGGTCATGCCTTCTGTTGTCAAACATTTCTCTGTGAAATTTGACTCTCGTAAAACTATTTCTATTTTTGAAGTGTCTAAGTATTTCTCATTGGGTATACAGACACTGCAACCACTGGATGATAAGTTTGGTGTTTCAAATAGATTTTCCTTTTAAAACACCACCACAGAATATTTTCCTCTGCTTGTCCTATAAATATATCTGTCTGCTCTTTTGCACTGATTCAAACAAGGGGACATGGACATGCAAGGGGCCAGTTCAGGACTGGGGAGAAATGTAGGAGAACCAAAGCATTGGGACTGATGCTATCACTGATGCTATTATATCTTGGCGTCCATACTCTGGTCTTACACATGTTTAAGAGATTCTCTTGTATTGGGAAGAATGTTGGGTATGGAGTTGTTGGATCAGGCGCTGCCGTCTACTAACAATGAGATTGTGGATGGGTTTCATCATTTCTCTGTTGGAGGTTGCTTTATAAAGAAGTAAAAGATATATACAGAATAGTGTGCGGGTTTTGAGAGAATAGCTCCGTGCATTTTCACAAACTGCACACACCCTGTAATTAGCACAGTCACACAGAGGAACAACAGAACATGAACAGTACCCTGGGAACTTGGCTTCAGGCTCTTCTGAGTCTAACTCCCCAACCCCTAGCAAAGACAGCCACTGCCCTGACTTCCAACCATAAATTAGTTTTGCCTGCTTTTGTTCTTTTTATAGTTGGAATGATGTGGTTTGTACTTCTCTGTGTTGGATGTCTTCACCCAGCATCTTTGTGAGACGTATCCATAGTGTGATGTGTGGTGTGTAGCCTTCCCTCTCCCTGCTGGATGACAGTCCACTGAATGACGATTCCAGAATTTACTGATACATTCTACTACTGATGAACACCCAGGCTTCTAGGTTTAGCTGTTATAAATAATTCTGCTATGCACATGTATGTATGACTCTTGTAGGTATCTCTGTTGGGTGTATACCTAGAATCGGAACTTCTGGATTAGATAGTATGATAATATGCTACGTTCAACTTGAGGAGATAATTCTAGCAGTGTTTGAGAATTTTGTTTTCTCTACATTCTTGCTAACACAATTGTCTGTCTTTAGCCATTCTGGTGGGTGTGCTTTTTGAAAGTTGGACATCATAACTTATACCTTAAAAGGTTGTTGTCAACTTAATTAATGTGTGCTTTTCTTTGCTTTCAAATCCTCTTTCTCCTACCATGGACTTGGGCAACCTCTCTGAGCTTCAGTATCTTTCCATGTCAAATGAGACTATTGGGCTGGATGACCCTTAATATTCTCTTATTTCTAGTATGCTAAGTTTTCTAATTCTGGGTACTTTTCAGGTACAGTCCTAGTGGGAAAGAATTCAATGTTATAGTAACACTGTGAGGTGGGTACGATTATTATTGCTATTTTCAGGTGAGGAAAGATCAAATATAAATTGCCTACGATCCAACAACTAGCAAGTAGTGGAGCTAGAATTTGGATAAAATCTGACTCCAGAAACCTCATTTCTTAACCACGTATCTTACCATCCTTTAATTTCCTTATCAAAGAAATGGGGGTAGCAACGGTTCAATTACAGTAGATTAAAATGAGATGAGGTTGCTGATGTGAAATGCCTTGCATAGTGTCTGCCTACTGTACATACTCAGAAGATGTTTATTTTTGTTGTTTCATGGTGGAAAGAATCGTTTTGAACTTATCATGGTTGGATCATTGGATTGTGGGGAAGAGATTCCTGTTAAATAAGTGAAGCTTTCATTTCTTTGTTCAGGTCCTGTCTGCAGTCTCTGTGTCTCATCTTTTGGAGCAAGACCCGTCACAATCTTCAGTGGCTTCATGGTGGCTGGAGGCCTGATGTTGAGCAGCTTTGCTCCCAACATCTACTTTTTGTTTTTTTCCTATGGCATTGTCGTAGGTAAGGAATCTGGGCATGGTGACTTTTCGAACTTAAAAGAATTATGCATCATCTCACCCACGCCGAGTTTATTATTTCACTGATCTAAAGGGGGGAAAACTCTCACTAAGCAAGTGGTCATTGCTTTCAATGACCACTTCTCTAAAAATTGTTGCTTTCGTAATAAATCCACCCAGGGAAAATCAAAATATTTGAAAAAGATAAACATTTCTAAAATTCATATTATGTCTCCTTGCAGAAACTGTTTTCATCTCAGACTTCATCTCCAGACAGCACAAAAAAGGAAAAGTGAGAGAAGGGGATAGAAAAGTTAGATATCCCTGACATCTGTGTTTCTCACTGACTTAGGAAGTGGCCCCTTCCCTTCTATTAGACACTCGAGCAGGGCTCTTTGATTTGCTGGGATTTTATGTTTGTTCATTTTTTTGTTTTCTTAGAGATAGGGTGTTGCTCTCTCGTGTAGGCTAGAGTGCAGTGACCTAATTATAGGTCACTATAGCCTCAAACTCTTGGGCTCAAAGTGATCCTCCCACTTTAGTGTCCCAAGTAGGTAGGACCGCAGGCATATTACCCTGCCAGGCTAATTTTTTCTTGCCTTTTGTGGAGAGAGGGTCTTGCTATATTGTCCAGGCTGGTCTCGAACTCCTGGCCTCAAGTGATCCTCCCACCTCAGCCTCCCAAAGTGCTGGGAGTACAGGCATGATCCACCTTAACTGGCCTAAGCAGGGCTCTGGGTTCGTATTCACAAATAGCTGTTTGTGTTCCACAGCATCTATTGCAGGGCCTGTATCAAAAATCACAGCAGAAGTAAAAAGTAGATTTTAAGGCATTTATTATTATTATTATTATTTTTAAACATAAGGCAGGAGCAAAGAACATTGAGTTCTAGGGATGATTAAAATGCCATTGGTTGCTGGAGAGGAAAGCGTGGAAGGCTCAGAGCCTGAGAGTGCTTACAACTGGTAGGAAATATCCTGTGATGTGTTATGCCAGTTACATTCTGTGTCAGTACTCCTGGGAGCTTTAGTTGCCGATTTGAGAAAGATGACCTCCAGCTTTCAAGAGTTTTTGTGATGTCAGAAAGGACCTAGTTTTGCTGACTACCAATATTCCTCTTTGCTACTTGGTGGTATTTCCCCAATAATAAATAATAGAAATTACAGCAGCTAACATTCACAGAGTACTTATCATGTGCTAAGGGCTGCGCTAAATGATTTACGTGGTCTCACTTAGTCTTCACAAGAACTTACTTTACAGAGAGAGAAAGTGAAACTCAAAGAAGTGAAAAAATTACAAACCTAGTCACAGAGCTAAGAGACGTGGGGCTGGGCCCACTCACTCCTATACCAGGACATGACCTCTTTTACATTTTCCTAATAATTCTTAGTGCTTTTAGGGCTTTTAAAGTTTCTTTTAAATTTAACTTCATGCCCCAATGCTACTCAGATCTTAAGCTAAATAATCAGGTCACTTGTGAGGCCTTTGAAAGCACCTGGTATATGTTTTGTATTTTATATAGTGCTTAATGTAATTTTGAAACTGTGGCTGCATATATATTAATCTCTTGTGTAAAATTTGAGACTCTTCACTGAATAATAATTTCACGTTTTGTCTAAAATAATTTAAAAATGTAGATATCTGTGTTTATGCATGTTCAATCTAGGAAAAGCCTTTGTGAGTATATGTCTGAAGTTGTCACTGACTTAAAAATTGATAAAAAGTGAGTAATACCATTGCATTTGTATTATCCATAGAACAAAATGAATTTTTTTTTTTTGAGACAGAGTCTTACTCTGTCACCCCAGCCAGACTGCAGTGGTGTTAGCATAGCTCACTGCAACTTTAAACTCCTGGGCTCAAGTGATCCTCCTGCTTCAGCCTCCTAAGTAGCTGCAACTATAGACATGTGCCACCATACTTGGCCTATTTTTTCTATTTTTAATAGGGACAGGGTCTCATGCTTGCTCAGGCTGGGTCTCCAACTCCTGACCTCAAGGGATCCTCCCACCTCGGCCTCCCAGAGTGCTAGGATGACAGGTGTGAGCCACCATGCCCAGCCCTTGTTTTTAGGCCATTTTTATGTGTTCTTTTGAGAAATGTCTATTCAGACCATGTACTCATTTTTTAAAATCAGATTGTTTGGAGCTTTTGTTTAAATGTTTGAGTTTCTATGTATTCTGGATATGAATCCCCTGTCTGATGAGTACTTTGCAAATATTTTCTCCCATTCTACAGAGTGTCTTTTTACGCAATTGATTGCTTCCTTTGCTGTGCAGAAGCTTTTTAGTTTGGTATAATCTCTTATTTATTTTTGCTTTTGTAGCCTGTGCTTTTGAGCTCTATCTTATTCAAAAAAATCTTTTCCAGACCCATGTCCTGAAGCATTCCCCCTATGTTGTCTTCTATTAGTTTTATTGTTTAAGGTCTTTTATTTAGGTCTTTGATCCATTTTGAGTTGATTTTTGTATAGGGTAGGAGATGGGGGTCTAGCTTTATTCTTCTGCATATGGATATCCAGTTTACCTTTTATTGAAGAGGGTATCCTTTCCCTAATGCATGTTCTATACACCTTTATCAAAAATCAGTTGGGTGGAGATATGTGGATTAAGTTCAGGGTTCTCTGTTCTGTTTCATTGGTCTACATGTCTGTTGTATGCCAGTGTCATGCTGTTGTGATTACTACAGCTTTGTAGTATAAATTGAAGAAGTCTGATCGTGAGATGCTTTCAGCTTTTTTTTTTTTCCTCCTCAGGATTGCTTTGGCTTTTCAGGGTCTTTTGTACTTCCATATAAATATTAGGATTTTTTTCTATTTCTGTCAAGAAAGTTATCAGTATTTTGATAGGGATTGCATTCGATCTGTAGATTTATTTGGGTAGTATGGTTATTGTAAGAATATTAATTCTTGCTATATGAACATGGGATGTCTTTCCATTTATTTGTATTGTTTTCATCAGTGCTTTGTAATTTTCTTTATAGACATCTTTTGCCTTCTTAGTTAAATTTTTTCCTAAGCATTTAAGAAAATGATTATTGTAAATAGAATTGCCTTCCTGATTTCTTTTTCAGTTAGTTTATTGCTTATGTACAGAAATGCTATTGATTTTGTATGTTGATTTTGTATCCCACAACTTTAATGAATTTATCAGTTCTAAGAGGTTTTTTTTGTTGAGTCTGTAGGTTTTCTATATATAAGATCATGTCATCTGCAAACAAATACAATTTTACTTCTTTCTTTCTAATTAGGGACTCCTTTATTTCCTCTGTTGCCTAATTTCTTTGACAGGGACTTCCAGTACTAGACGGAATAAGAATGGTAAATTAGACATTATTGTCTTGTTCTAGTTCTTAGAGGGAATTAGAGGAAAACTATTCCTCGTTCAATATAATGTTAGCGGTGGGTTTGTCATATATGGCCTTTACTATGTTGAGGTATTTGGAGTTGTTATTATGAAGGGATGTTGAATTTAATCAAATGCTTTTTCTGAATCTATTGAGATAATCATATGGTTTTTGTTCTTCATTCTATTGATGTGATGTATGATGTTTATTGAGTTGTATATGCTGAACCATCCTTGAATTCTTGGGATAAATATCACTTGATAGTGGTATATTATCTTTTTAATGTGTTATTATGTCCAGTGCTTTACAAATGAAAGAAAAAAATTAACTTACATTGTTCATAATTTATATACATTTGGTTGTTAATATAATGAGTTATATATAAAAATTAAAAATGTTCACTAATAATGGAAGACTGCCTAAGGGTGTATAACAAGAAAAAGGCATATTAACTAAGTTCTATAACTAATGGAACTTTACCAAACGTGTGAAATTGATTTTTATTTTGGATCATGTTGCTGGACTCTTTCAGTAGGTAACTCTGCCCTCCCTCCCCATTCCTCATGATCTTGTAGTAGTCTATGTTGATGGGATACCCTCAGCTGTATACCACCACACTTGACTACTTTTTCTATTTTTTGTAGATGCATGGTCTTGTTACTCTGGCTGATTCTGAACTCCTGACTGTAGGTGATCCTCCTGCCTTGGCCTCCCAAAATGCTGGGATTATAGGCGTGAGCCACCATGCCCAGCCTATTTTCTTATTTTAAACTGAGTATGATAATAACATCCATATTGTGGGAAATTGTGAAGACTAATTACAAAATGTATTGAATATTAGCTAGGACACCCATTATTAATAGTTTTATTATTAGTTGGTTGTAGGTCTATGGTTTTATCTCTGAGTTTTCTATTCTGTTCCATTGACCTATGTGTCTACTTTTGTGCAAGTACCATGCTGTGTTGGTTACTATAGCCTTGTGGTATGATTTTAAGTCAGGTAATGTGATGTCTTCTGTTTGTTTGTTTCCTTAGGATTGCTAGGGCTATTCATGTATATGGTTCTTGGTTCTGTATGAATTTTAGAATTGTTTTTTCTACTTCTGTGAAGAATGACATTGGTATTTTGATAGGAATTGCACTGATCTATAGATTTTGGGGGGCAGTATGGCCATTTTAACAATACTGATTCTTCCAATCCATGAGTACAGAATGATTTTCGATTTGTTTGTATCATCTACAATGTCTTTCATCAGTGATTTGATTTCTTCTTGTAGAGATTGTTCGCCATCTTGGTTAAATGTATTCCTAGGTTTTTTGTTTGTTTGTTTGTTTGTTTTGTTTTGCAGCAATTATAAATGGGATTGAGTTTTTGATTTGGTTCTCAGCTTGATCATTGTGTGTAGAAATGCTATTGATTTTTGTACTTGATATTATAACCTGAGACTTTGCTGAATTAATTCTTTATCAAATCTAAGAGTCTTTATGAGGAGTCTGAAAGTTTTCTAGATTTAAGATCCTATTATCAGAATACAGAGATAATTTTACTTTCTCTTTTCTGGCTAGGACTTCCAATGCCATGTTGAATAGAAATGGTAAAAGTAGGCATCCTTGTGTAGTTCCAGTTCTTTTCAGTATGATATTGGCTGTGGATTTGT